TCTCATCGTTTTAAGAGCACTCAAAAGAGGTTTAAATATAAAACGATGCATCAGCCATCCAGGTCTTTTTTCATCCCGGTTGTTTTGCATAAACAGGCACAGACTTGCAGCGAGGCACCCTTGATGAGAAGCCTCTCTCTGCACTCGCTCTCACTGGGGACAGGCTTGTTTCCATTCGACCAGCTGGGCTCTGAACACATAGCCTCCTCTTCAGGAAAACAGTTTGGGCTGTTCTTTTTTCACCAGCCCTTTGCTGCCCTCTTTACTTTCCACCACCAGGAATCCCAAACTATACAATGGCAACAAAAAAAAAACCCACTCATTTCCTGATCTTATTAACGTGAAAACGGTTTCAGGTGGACATAGGTAAAAAATCAATCTAACCAGGGTATTTTCCCCCCAATTTCAATAGAACATTTCCAGCCAGATGGAAAATCTCCAGATGCTCACCTGCAGTCACACAGGAATTTCATGGATTTGATTCGGGATCCCTGCCAGAATTTAAATGATCAATAAAAAAAATACATTACAGAATCTATTTTTTTTACCTATACCAGGACCTAACTGTGACCCCTTGTGACCATGCTGGAGCGAACCCTAAAGAAAATGTCTGTGGAGAACAGTATCCTCAGCAATGCTATCATGGCTAAAAGAGGGAGGTGGCGGACTGAGAAGACTCTTACACCTTCACTAATGTTGTTCAGGAATATTCTAGTTTCAGCATACTGAGTCTCACATTTGCCCGGCTGCCTCCACATCACAATTGGTAGATCAATAGCTGCTTGTCATGCTGGAGGTCATCAATGGAAACATGGAAAAACATTTATGTAATCAGGCAAATGGGAGATGAGAGGTCAGAAAAAAAAAAAATCATTTCCTCATTCTTTAGGTTTAGATTAAATATTTTCTTTGTGCTAAACAAGTTAAACGAACTGCACTGAATGAATGTTAATCAGGCAGATTATTGAGCCCAGATCATGATGCCGGGTGCACAGCCTTCAGCTGTGTGTTGACAGGGGGGTGGGAGGTGGGGGGGGGGGCTTGATTCACTGCAGCTGTTCCACTTGTTGACATCAGCACACAGCTCTTCTGATCCAGAATGTGAAGATATTAACTTTCACCTTCTTTGGCTCTCCCAGGTTTTAAAATAGTCCAAATGATCTCAATCATGCAGTAAACAACACACGACCTCCTTGTTAGCGCTTTAGTGTCATCCGTCAGAGCAGCGCGGGTACTGACCATCGCTACTATATTAATGCCTCATACTGTATATGGGGGCTGAAGTCTCTGGATTTCCCATGAGAACTTTGTCTAAACAGAACACAGCAGATCCCCTGCTTCATAACTCTGTCACAGAGGCCATAAACCAGCACGCAGAACGAGCAGAAGTTAAACGGTGTGAGGCACTGCCCGGTTAACACAGCCACATCTGCAAAAGGAGTGCACCCGGTATACGTCAGCATAGCCATTTGATGAACTGTGATGTCATTGGGTTTTAACGGGGAACGCACTCATCACAAATATTTACCCTCATAACGTTTCTGCCCATTCACACACAGACACACACACTTCACTGCTCACTGTAAATGAAACGGCACAGGAGCTGAGCAGTCTCTCAGGTTTTACTTTGGCTCTGCTATTTGTAATGGATACTTGTCAATGCTGACTCTGGGTTTAATTAATCTAGGCTATGCTATCAAATCACTAATCAGCCCAGGTATCCCTTTCTACACAAGACAAAAAAATGACCACAGTCGCAGAATGGATCTTTGGCATTAAGATGCTGTCAGATTAAAATAATGTAACACAATATGACCTGCACTACAATATGATCTCCACAATAACACATTGATGAATACATCCAGGGCGACATGGGTCACGGTCTTACCCAAGGACATGTCATCATGAGGGCTGGGGCCAACTGCGAATGTCATCTGTCCCTGTCCGGGAGTGTCGGCTGGATTTTGTGCAGCTTGATTTAAAACTATTTCAGCTGCACTAATGTGTTGAAATGCAAACGCTGGTTTGGATTGGGCTGACAGCATTTTAACACTTGTTTCGGTTTATCGAGCTCCAGTGTTTTCGGAATGGCGTAATAATACACATTCAATCATATTATCAACACGTGTGAAAATAATATTTAATCATAATCTGATTGCTATGAAAACATTTAGTAAAGCAACCAGATAATGAGTGAGCTGTTAGTAGTTTTGCTTGTGCCTTGGGAAACAATGAGACTGAAACACAGTCAACAGCTTCCCTTTGGGAGCTTAATTCAGTCACAGTTGCATCATATATGTAAACCCTCCTGTCAAATGAGTTTAAAAGTCACAGAGGCTGAAAAATAATCTAGAAGGTTATTCCCAAGCTACTGGGTCTTTAGTTCCATGGATCCCACCAAAATGTAATTATATAATTTCCTCATTTAGCACTTGTCCCTTGAGGCATAATCTGTTCTGTGGAAGACACATTCATGGACTAGCTTTGTCACCCTTTGAATTCACAAAGCACAAAACTCCCCCAAAGGCTTGTGCCAGTTCAGCTTCCACCGCCCTGTGAGTCTTCCCTCTCAAACCAAAAGACTGAAAAAGAACAGCAAGTTGCATAAGGTTGTGACATGTCCGCCCAGGGCCATGAAATATCCCGTTTCACAAAAAGTATTTTACTCTCCTTAGTTAACCACATTCTGCATTCTGAAGTTTCATCACAGGCAAGCCCGGTGTCATAAATGTTCAAGACAAACAGGAAAAAAGGGAATAATATTTTTCGTACAGTCTGCAGGGATGTGCTCCTGAGAAAAAAAGAAAAGAAAAAAAGGCTGTTCCACTTGTTTCACTGTCAGAATTTAGCGTGATCCTAAACAGGCAGCAATGGCCCAGTGATTATATGGAACAATGCATGTGAGGAACCCTACGGACTGCTTGGATAGTTTGCAACAAACGACAGCTGAATTTCCATCTCCTCGACAGCGGCAGGTCAAGAGGTCGTGAGATCTGGCTAAAGATTAAGGAAACATTTCAAAAGCGGAGTACACATACTTACCAGTCTTGCTGGCACTCCTGTGTTCAACTTCGTCCCTTGGGGCAAAAGCAAGAGTTCTCAAACTCTGCTTTGCTGGGTAATAAATAGGCCTGAATCGAACAAGTGCTTGTTGGATGGGACCTTTGAAATGATGACGAAACAATGACGGAAAAGGAGAAAAATCTAAAGGAAAAAAATGTCAACACAGCCCCTTCCTTTTGCTTTTCTCACAGCTGGTCAGGGGAGTGAATGAATAGAAAGAAATTAAAGATACTATGGCTTATGGCTTGTTCTATTGATGCTGCAATGCACATTTGACTATGTGGGGTGTATACTGAGTGTTGCCAGTTAATAAAAAAAAAAAGCACCCATCCTCAAACATGTCCATCCATCCATTTTCATAACCGCTTACTCCAACTGGGTCACCGGGCAGAACGCTGAGAGTACTTTAAGGACTGAGATTGTATATGGATTCTTAAATTAATCATGTCAGGAATCAGCTGACTGCTGTCCTGCCGGGCAGCTTCAGTGACCATCCGCAGTTCATACAAGTTGTGATTCACTTCTGCATCACTATCCACATTCAGCTGAGATTGGGCAGCGATTGGGCTGCATACTGGGCCTTTCCCTGGACAGGATGATCTTTTAAGAAACATTACGTAAGTCATCACTCATCAAAGGCCATATTTCCAAAAAAGAATGTCCTTGGTTTTGGCTGAGAATCCCCCCCCCCCACCGCACAACACTAGACCGCCGCCTGCAGTCCATCTTCATTCAGTTTTCTCAGTCTGGCATGAAGTCATTGGTCTTTGACCGACACGCAGAGTAGTCTGCTCAAAGTGGGCTTTTGTTCGCCCATGCTGTTAACATTCACAGTACAGAGGTTTTCAGAAAAAGGGCTCAAAAATAGCCATCGAAAAGTCACTCTTTTATTCAGCACACAGTGTGAAGAATCCCGGCTTGCCATAAAGTGTGCATTCACTGTGTCCTTACGTAAGGAAGTTTACACAAATTGTAAAAACAGCCCGGAGCAACGCTGACCTGCGCAGACCGGGAGCATTTTAGCAAATTAGCACCCGTTGACCTTTGTGAGCTCTTAAAAACGCTCCACATACGTAATTTGCCGTACCATCGACAACTGCAGAACATGCACAGCTGTGCGTTCAAACCCAGCAGCTTTACATCCCGAGAGGCAACGCCCGGCAAACCAAACAACCGCACAGGCAGGACTTTCCAAACACCTTCAAATGCTGCAAATGGAGGACTAACAATCATAAAACAATGAATGTCAGAGCACAAGCAACGTCTGTGGCATTGGTTTACTACATGCCATGAAATCAAATTGGAAAAATCCTTTATTTCCTTTGTAAAATTGTCAAATGTGAAAAAAATAGATAAATTCAGATTTCCACATTACTGACATCACACTATGTGCTCCAAATATTCTGTTAAAAAAGAAAAGAATCATTAGTCGAGTGACACCAAGTCAATAGATGACCTAAGAGAGGGTAAATAAGTCATAATATTTAAACTGAATTAATTTAATTGAAGTTTAATTCACAAAAAAGAACTCCATTCTGGCTACAGGACCAACAAATTTAACTTTCTCCTCTCCATTCGTCATATTTTTGCCAATATTATCAATCTTATCTTAGCTTATGCAAAATACTGCTCATGCCGGCGGTTCTCATTTGCTGAGCAAGTCGGTGTTAGTTACAGGGTATGCATGCGTAAAGGCCGGGTGTACCGTTTCCTTCCTGCGTCAACCACGTTTTCATTACATTAAACCTTCTTTAAATGATCTCTGGCAGAGGGGTGGAAAACAAAGTCTCTTTGATGGATGTGCAGGAGAGAAGTCGTACGGAAACTTACCACCTCGTCATCGTCAGCAGATCGATCAGCTTCAGTGGCCTCATCTCAGTTAAGGTGTGCGGTTCCAAGATCAGACGTCTTAATTAGAACTGTCAGTCACATGGCAGTAAGAATTAACTTAGATTAAGGACAATCCTCAAATACATACTGTATTAAGCAGAGGGAATAACATACAGTAGAGGGAATGGTTTCAAATGTAATCATTTTAATTTTCAAAAAGCTGAACTAAAACTGTGGATCCATCCTGTATAAACAAATTTAAGATACACACCAATCTGTTAATTATTTTTAAGCAAGAACAACGAACGCTTCTGTCAGACATAATGAACAATAAAGCCTTTATTTTTTTGTCTTTCCATGGTTCAAGTTTGTCAGTCCCACCCAGTGACAAGGTGGTGAATAGAGTGAAGGAGTAAGAGGTAGAGCAAGTGTTCCATTCTTGTTGTGATAAGTGTAAAAACTTTCTTTTACACACTAAGGGAATGGCCATCCAAAGAAGGCCCACTGGAAAAAGAGAGAAAAGAAATGAACAGCAGCTTCTTTGTGGTGTTTCTAGCTTTCCCTTATAATTTCACAATCATAAATACATCTGACTTTTGATAAAAAGGTAGCACTACAGTGTAAGTCAGAGAGGCAATGACCGCCACCGTCAGTCTCTGAACACTTGGGAGTCGGACAACGGCCTCGTGGGGGTCTGCATAGTGTGGCGAGACAGAAGAGACATCTGCTGCCTGATGCGGACTAAAAAGAAGATCTTGGTCTAAGACTTAGAAGAAAAAAAAAGCAGGAGCTGGGAGAAAACAGGGAAAAGAAATGGGGTTGTCTCTGCATACTGTATTGAATAGCACTAGAAACCTGAGCAGTGGAGCCTGACAGCATATCAGTCCAAAATAGGTGTATGATGGTCAGTTGGCCCTGTGTGCATGTGTCACACTGCATTAAAACCATTACCAACCACTCTACCGTTCAGCTGCACTGGGACAAGTCGGGACAGTGCCATATTACATAAAAAAGTAGATAATATTTACATCTTCACATAAATTATTTCCCTAACATATGGTATCTGTAAGGAAAAATAAGATCTCTTAGACAAAGAAAAAAATAGAAGTGCCTCTCAGAAAAAGACTATACTGTAATTGTATTGGAGAAAATGAGCAAAAAGTGGCGAATTAAATGTTGCTGAGATAAAATCATAATGCAGGAAGAAAAGAGTCCAAAAGAAAGGGAAAAAAGAAGCAATTAATGCAGTAATAAATGAGCGCAGCTTTCAAAATGGCACATAGAAATAGATAAAGCTTTCCACTTGATTAGGCAACCCCTGAATACTTCCAGGTACTAATCACAACACTGGAGCCGACTCTTTATACCACTAAAGAAGAATACAGAGTGGTCATGGCATGGAGGGCAACGCCTCCGATCTCTAATGATACAGGATGCATGACATTCCTGTCTCACACAACCAAGAGCTCTAGGAATGACTCCTCCTGCCCAAAAAGTGACCTTTGACATTTCTAACATGTTTTGTCTCAGTTCCAGAGCCTCCCACAGGCTGGCCTACAGCAACTACAGCTCCTGAACTGACCAATCGCATCGGGGCAGAAACAGATCAAACCTGATGTGATCTGACAAAAAGGCTCTTGTCTGGAAAATATTCACACGCATCAACGCAATACAGTATCAAAACTCTGTATAACGAGAAGACATACAAACAGATATGCAAATATAGCTTTCAGTACACAACAAAATATACATGAACTGTCGGTTTTGCAGATTAAATTCAACCTTTGCAAACAAGTTGTGTCACAAACAAACAACGGCTGGCTCTTTCTATGGTGAAGAGAGATAAGAGGGGAGGGGGGCAAAAACAGAACAAGACAAACAGCTAATTAGGTTCAGTTCATATTTGTCATGTGGGATAACTGCTCACACATGAGGCTTGGAGGAGTGAATCAAACCTTTCCAGTTGACCATACAAGTTCATATTATTTTCGCTCTTACACTCCAGTGCTGCTGGGCTGCTGTCAGTCTTTAGGTCATTCCCCTATTTTGTGAGGGTGCATAAGAGTCTATCATTCCAGTGAGTAAAAAAAAGAAAGAAAAAAAAAAGTAGGGCCATTGGTTTGTTTGCTGACAGGTCCCGCCCACACTAACGAGGAGGAGCCTGGGGGGAGCCCATCAGTCATCCAAGATGACCTTGACAAAACTGGCCACGTCTGTCTCTTTGGAGTCGTGTAAGGTGAAAAATGAATGATCCTGCATGAAAACAAGCATAAAGAAGTTAGAAATGTCTCCCCAAGTAATTCATGACCTCAATAGTTATTTACAAGGGAAATTCTAATGACCTAAATGAATGGTGCCCACTCTTGCGGACATAAACAAGAACCGGAGATGGCTGGGGTGTTGGAAGCTAGGCACAGAATAGGTATTGGGCTTTTTGGAAAACAATTGAATGTAAAAAATTAACAAACCATTAATTCTGTGTATGCTGGTCTTTCATTTGGCTTCTTTCTTAAGCTGTGAAATAAAAAGAAAAGTTAAATGCACATATGGAAACACCAAAATATAACATTCTATAGTCTAGAATACCGTGTTTATAGCACCTCTTATTGCTAAGCATTGCAAACACTGCCCCCTGCTGGGCTTTAGGGGCAATTCTCTTACAGCAACAAAATGAGCACGCTTGATGTAAACTTGCAGAGGCTCACCACTGAGATATGAAGTCTACAAACTCAGGAGAGAAACGATCTGCAGGCAGCTGAGGAGACGGCTCATCCACCACCTGTTTAAGCTGCTGGAACGGAGTGCCCCATGAGTCGTAGGGGAACTTCAGAATGGCCAGCTCAATCTGAAGAGCAGAGAAAAGCCAATTCAGCTAAAACTGAACATGTAAGAGATTCATTTCAGGAATGCATCAAATCAGTGCAAAATGCCTTCTGGGTCATAATGACACTGCATAAAGTCAAATATTTTCTTTCTTTTTTGTTTTCTCTGATGAATTCTACAATATCTCTGCCTGTACTGACATCTTTATATGTTGACATATTTATATGAGACTTCACGCAACAATTTTATGAAAAACTGGTCGAATAAACTCATGGCTTAACCTTACTTTACTGGTCCTAACTGTAAGGAAGAGTCCTGTGTGATGATAGATCCAAGGTAAAGCAAATAAACAGAGATTCTGTCAATCTGTAAGCCATGTTATTGGAACTGCTAATAACCCAACAGCCACGTGGCACAGCAATGGAACTTGTCAAAGGTCATCGTGACTCAGCATAAACAGAGGTTTGGTAGTGCTTCAAATCATAGTGTCTATTTACATATACTTTGTCCAAAGGCAGACGGATATTGTATTCTCTAAAATGAATATTGTGACCAACATTTGTAAACAAAAATGATCATGTAAATATTGCCTTAATATCATTACTAATGATTAATGACAATCAATGTTCCCAGCTCGGCGTCGGTATTATCTAAGCACTCCCAGTAGCAAAATACTGAAAATATTAAACCATTTGTTACACATAGGGCAAAGTTTCATTACATATCAATGTTTGAGTGAATAACACAATTCCACAATATCAACTTTAATTTGTTCTGAACAGAAAATAGCAGCAACCTCTTCAAATATGTTTTGCCATTAGTAGGACAAACAACAAAATATCATTACACAACCTGACTCACCATAGTGATTCCGAGACTCCAAATGTCTGACTTGACACTGTAGCCCTGCTGGTTGAGGTCCGGGTTGATCCGCTCAGGCTAAAAGGTAAACCATTTTCAGAACCAGTTTTATGATTACGCCGGGAAAAAAAAAAAAAGGAAAAAAAAGTGTGCTATTCGTTCTGCACTTGCTTATCAGGGTTTCCACTCTGTCAACATTAGACAAAAAAGGCTTTGAGAAATCAAAGCAACAATATACAACAGTCAGATTTTGTGACCCTACATTCAGGCAAAATGCTTTAAAGCTCGAGGCTTTTCTTTGTACATTTGAGACCAAAATATGAAAATAGTTTAGGGGATTGTAGCTCACGCACTGTTCACAGACTAGTTCTAACAGTCCTTCTTTGCTTACACCCAAGATTGCCGAGTAGAAGGAATCTCTTCCCGCCTCTACTTACCGCCATGTAGGGCTTGCATCCTGCATCCATCGTTTTGGCCACAGAGTCCACCAAATGACCACTGATGCCAAAGTCGCACATTTTCACTTGGCCCTGAGTGTTGATCAGGACATTGGAGGGCTTCACATCTAGATAGAAATTATATTGGAAGCGTGAGACAGAATACAGCACTGAGAAAAGTACAATGCGATGATGTCATCGGTTGAATTACCTCGATGTATCACAGATAGGTTTCTGTGGAGATGCTCCAAGGCTTTGACAATCTGTGGAGTAGAAAGAAAACATGATGGGCAAAATTTCGAGCTCATCAAATACAGCATCCTAAGCAATAGAAGTCCACGTAACGCCACGTTACCTGGACTTTGATTGCACAAATAATTTTTCACAAAAGTCCAGTTGAACATTTCAAAAGAAATTTAAGCAGCATGTAAACTGTAAATGTAGCATTTTGACCACACACAAATATGCCAATATCGACTATTAGTGTGTAACAAATCCACTGTAACGTGATTTCATCTGTTTAATCCATATACACAAGCAGAAATTAAGAGTGACAGTTCGTGGTTTTAAAGCTTTTTTTTCGCCAATGCAGAACTTATGGAGCTGTCACTTCCTCTTAGAGCAGCCCGTGCTGCATGGCTGTCACCATGATAACAGGTTGCTACAAAAGCAGGATTCACACATTCGTGGTGTTTAACTGCCGACACTGGACTAATTGCTCCTTTGCCAAAATCAGACACACAATAAGTGAGCACCTTAATTGGTCCACTGCCAGTGTTATTGTTAAGCTGTTCATGAACATGAGAGGGAGAGTGTTGATGCCTGAAACATGTGAATCCCGGTCAAATTTACCATTGTACTTACAAATGATTTATTACTAATAAACTATTACATCCCTCAAAGCAACAAAAGTTATGGTGTTCTTATCCTGGCAAAAGGGGAAAAGCTGAACATACAACCCAAAAAGACAAAGAAGCAAACACATCGTGGGGGGGGACGTACTGCGACTGCGATCTTGCCCAAGATGTCCTCAGGAATGGTTTTGCCTTTTTCAATAACTTTCTTATAGAACTTATCCAAAGACGTGTCCATCAGTTCCATACAGATCCAAACATCACCCTGAAGGAAAAAGACAAAAAGAAAATAGGTGAGAAGAAATCTGGCAAGCCGCAGTCATGATTTGTTAGCATTCACATTTCCAATACCTCTCTAAAAAGGGCACCATAGAAGGTCACGGTGTAGAAGCAGTCCACAGTCCTCATGGAGATGTCCAGGTCCATCAGAAGCCTCTTCTGCTCCAGAGTGTTGACAGTGGCACGGATCCTCTGGAGGCACAAACATCACTGAATGCCAGTCCGCCACAACACCCCCCCCACATGTAAAATGTTGAAAATGTGCTGCATTTGAAAGAACATGGGAATCAGCCCACCTTCACAGCCATGATAACACCACTGGGCACATGCTTCATCTTGTCCACCACTCCATACGCTCCCCTACCCAGTTCTTCTATCTGCTCCAAGTCATCTGCCTTTACCACAAAGTTCTGCACAGACAAGACAGAAGTTGTGAAGGTGTGCCGCAGAAACAGAACCGAATGTTTCAGTCAAACTCAAACTTACCTGATCTCCAATTGTCACACAAGCCTTAGAGTCAAGATCTCGAGGGGGCCTAAAGGAAAACAGCAACATTGGAATCAAAGAAGTAAATAAGAAACTATTACAAACACTGGTTACCTGGAAATTACATGAAAAAAACACTTGATACAAAATAGAAATTACATACAAAATGTATAATAATTTATTGTAACTCCACATAAACATAAAAGCATCAACTGTGATTTCAAAGGAAATTATGCTACAGATATCTGAGCAATCTAAGTTTGACTTGTTACGACAAGTCAAACTTAACAATTAATTGTTACTAAGGAGGACAATAAACTCACAAATGCTATTTAATGGTGAAACCATAAAACACTTGATGTTTTTATTCAGTTTCATTTGAATGAAAAAAGAAAATTCAAACCAAGAAAACTTTCACAGTTACACCAGTAAAGGCCCATGGTAAAAGTGGGGCTTACGCTGTAGCCGCAGGGGGGGGAGGCCTAAACACTTCTGTGGCCAGCCTCAGCCCATGGCTCTTCTTCTTCCCTGGAAGACAAACAGTTTCAGAGCAAATATTACCATCTCAGCACAATGACCAGTGCACAGTGGATAATAAAGATGTTAGCTGATCCTGCTTGACAGTTTATTTTATAAAATAAATACCGTCTCATTACACTTATCGTTTACAGCCCTGAGACAATCTGCTCCATTTGAGTTGAAATATGATTTTTGCCACAGCATCCAAATGGTTTAGTCTACAAAGGATTCAGTTATTTTCTCTTTGATTGCAACAACATTATACATTTGTAGTTGGAACTAATAGAAATTATAGCAAGTGAGCTTTCATTTAAGTGGAGTGAGAGTCAGAGCAACTGTATATAACAGATGTGAGAGCCCGGCTACAAAGAGGAGGTGGATTAAATGACTACTCAAACTTGTTATGATGACTTAAATCTATCATGTGAGAGTGAAAGAAAAATCAAACTCTCCATCCTCCTGTGATTTATCTTTTACATATCAAAATTATTGCACGTCGATAGACTGAAACATCCGATTTATAATCTTGAGTGTAAAGTCTTACTTTTTTCCCCATTATCTAGTGTATTGGTATTCTAAACTGTGCAGCTCTGGGACCTTTCTGTGTTACAACAGGGACAGCAGTCCATTCATAACCACGGCTTACCAGCAGCCTCTGGGACTTCCCAAAACCCACAGCTAGTCTGTGCCAGAATGACACAGCTACGAAGAGCAACAGAGGAAAAATGGCTCAACTCTTTTTGACACTCACACCGACATGCATGTTTGCTCTTGTTGAAAGGCAGAGAGGAAAAACTGAACATTGATGATGATGAGCTCCATCTGTGTGTGCTAGAACTGCTCGGCCTCACTGGGATATGATTTTTTTTTTTTAAGATTTCACCTGCAAGGATGTTTCATGTCATCTTAAACAGGCAGTGGAATGAATAAATCTGTGGATAAAAACGCATGTTGTGCTCCCGAGTGACCACTACTGCATATGGAGGATGTCTGATTGTATAAACCTCTCCTTGCTAGAGTAAACTGGAAGGGAATTGAAACAAAGATTTTAGATCCTAGAGCCCACCAATGAAACATAGACATGTTTCCGCTTTCTGCTGCAAGCCTAAAATAAACCTACAGTGTCTGGTCAGAGTAAGGTAGTCTCATGTGGTCTGGAGAGATTGACTGTGATTTACTCACACATGCACAGTCAGAAATAGATTTTGCATTTCCTCTGTGTGGGATATAGCAAGAGCACTCAAAAGACTTCTGTTGGCCAGCTGAAAGGGATACTTCTGGCATGCTGCAGCATCAAGGTAACAGGAAACATTGGGGTTCAAGTAATGAATGAAACTATTTTTTAAGCAGTTTTTATTTAAAACCGCTTTACTATAACTATGCATATGTTATAGTTTGGTAAAGGAAGAGTAACTGCTCTGTGATGAAAAGTATTAATGGTCTTGAAATGCAATCTCCTGTCAGGTAGCAGTCCCGGCACCTGGTGTGTGCAGGGGCCAGGGCTGCAAACTGGGATATGACTAACAGCCAGTAGGAATGGACGCATCCGCTCAAAACACAACAACTGTCAGGACCCTTTGGGAACTATGATGTCACTTCGCTTGACTCGCTTGCTGTCCCTGTAAGGGCAAAAGGAGGCCAGCCGAACAGCAGCTTTTCGGCTGCAGAATCTCCCTGCTCTTCAGAATGAGCCTCACAGGACACAACGCTGCCATGACATCAGCCACAGCTGCAGTCAAAGTTCATCGCAGCAACACAGGAAAAGTACATGCAGCAGATAACAATTTCCTCAGAAGAGATCAGAGTAGTGAGAATTTAGTAGGAAACGGTGATGCAGAGTAGCGGCGCTGAGTGGGAATTCATGCAATTGTCAGTAAAAACAAAGAGTCACACTGGACATTGTGCAAACATTTTCCTTGACCCCTCCAGGAAAATAGGTTTATTAACCATGCAATTACTGCATACATTCTTTAAAAAAAGGTAAATTGTACAGTGGAAAATTCCCAACAACCCATGAATACATACGTAATGTGAACAAGAATTTCTGGATTGTGCATGGGATCAAAGTGTCAATAGCTTTGTGGCGAGTCACCATCAGGAAGGACCAGCCTTAGAGAAGGTCCATATACAGACAACTGATGACTCATGCACAGATAATCTTCTGCACCGCCCTATCAGCCCTGTTAGGGAGAACCCAATCTCAAAACATGTTTCCGCAAACCAGTGATCAGCAAAGCAAAGCGCAAGGGCCCCCAAATAAAAAGAAGAGCACACAATGACACCAAAAAAAAAAAAAACCTTCTCTGCTTTGTGACAACAGCTGGAACGGCTGTGTGTAGCAGCTAGAATTCCCACTCAGAGCCAGGCCACTGTCAACAAAAGGAGGCTGCGCCTGGTATAGGTGCAGCAAGTCAAAACATGCCATTGTAGGCCGAAGATTGCCCGAGCAGCACCCGGCCAACCTTCACTGCCCTCTCAAAACAGCGTGTTCCCTCGGCCATGGTAACGCTAGTATGATTGTGTAACAGCACACGCGGTGAACTTGAAATGTAAATTGACGTCGTCATAATCACCATCATCATGTGCGTCCAACTCAGATGGAGAACGCTGCTAACCCCCCCCCCCCTCTCCCCCCAAGGAGTATATGTTATTCGGTTAACCCTAAAATGCTCACACAGAGCAATCTCTTAACTAAGTGTGCGCGTGAGATAGCACGGCGGTTGCTTATCATCACCGCCTGTTTTCAATAAATAAATTTTAATGGCAGAAATGTCCACCGTGGTGTGGCCACTGGTCCTTTTTTTATTGAACATGCGACTAAAATATATATTTATATATGTGCTAGCACTGTGCGACGCAATAGCTGCCAGACACCTGTGGTCCCAACGTGTTTTTCTGCCTCCGTGAGGCAGAAGCTAAACTCCGTGCAGAGGTTTCCAGCAGAGGGCAAGCAGGCTGGTAATTACAGCTCGGCAAAAGTACTTTATTGTCGTGAGAATTATGTTAGCTAACCTCAACGGGGGGGGGACTTACAACGAGGCGGTGCGAGTGTACTCTTTCTGCTCAAATGTGAACAAAACTGGTCGATACCCGCATCATAAGTGGGTTTACTGTGAGAAAGTTGTGTACCAGGTTGTTAGAGACTTTGTGTCCTCATAAAAACCAGAAAGACATGCTGGCTAGCTTCGTTTTCCTCTTCCCATACGTGCAGGTTTCCACCTGGCAAGGTTACAATTCTTACACAAAGCTAGCTAAATTACTTTGGAGGAATTCATTTACTTTATTCCTTTGCACCTCCTTTATTAAACTACATGCACGATTTATAAAAGAAAATTGGTTAAAAAGGCACTTACCTCCTTTGGATAGAGACATTTCCCCTTTGCTTTGATGAGGGGGAAGGGAAGCACAAAGACTTTTGCCTTTTTTTACTCCCTCCCTCCCTGCATCTACCCTTACACCCGCTCAGGATCGCTTGCTTGCGGTGCAAGAACTAGCAGCGATTAAAGCCAGGAGGGTTGCTCTCGTGCAAGCTTGGTACACTATTAATCAACTCACGCGCTCAACAATCGATCATCAGACGAATGCACAACTTTAAATCGTTATACTTTGCTAACAAAATCTGCACTGGGTTGGCCAAAGTCTGACAGCTGAAGGTTCTAGCAACGTGATGACGTATTTCCTGTCTTGCGCAAAGCATAATGGGAGATGTAGTTTCTGTTGTGCCAGCACTTTCTTTGTAAACAAAAAAGGCTAAATAAAAGAAAATGCTGTATCACTCACGTCCCGTCAAACATTTATTTTTGCATAACAAAAGTTTATTTTTCAAGTTTATTTTTCAAGTATCTTACAACTTTTTCCTACTTTAATCATCTTTCATTCTTAAACTTATCATTTCTTATTGGTTTCAGTTACAGTAGACCACCAACTAGTGAGTTTATTTTGGGTTGGATAAAATGCATAAAAGCAAAAATATGGATAGAGAAGAAAAAGACAGAAAGGAAAATTATAATCAAAATATGGGATGCAAAAACCCTATATTTGCAATGTCTAGCAAGATTAGATCATAATAAGGAACACAAATAAAAAGGTAAACATTTACACATTTCTATAAGCGAGATTTAAAGGCATGTAAAAGAATATGTAAGAGGATATAAGTGCTATGATCTAATATTCTGTATTTGAAAGACGTATGGAAAAAAAGCTTGAGTAACAATTCATTTTAAAGCAAAGCATCTATGGTACCGTTTCAAACAACATTAACCATTATGTAGATCTCTAAATTAAACAATAAAATCTACCAAACTATAAAATACCCTGATCAACTACAGTACACTCAAGTATTTTTCTCCCCCCGTTAGTATACATGTTATTCTAAAAAACACTATCAATGCCATGATGACTGTGCTAATTTGTCAACTCAGTGTAACTGTATTCCCTTTTTACAGATACCACCTTGCTTAACAACTGGAAGACAGAAAAAGCACGAACTGATGACCATGTATCAGACCTGACGCATACACACGAGCTGTGATATGAGTGTACTTTGTAATATATGCATGTGGTTGTGTTGGTGGAGAACCACTTGGTGAATCAAGAAAATTCCTGCTTTTACTTCCTGGCAACAAGGAGGGTGTGGTAGAGGGGTTTGATGACGATGTGTAGATAGAGGGAGCTGTCAATTAGGTAATCAGATACACGGCGCTGCAGGTCAGCATCCACTAAGAAATCTCCAGCCTCTTCTGTACTTTGGTGGAAGTTGTAGACATGACGTACAACCACTTTTCCTTGCTGTCTTGCCATCACAATGACTGTTTTCTGGAAACTTACACCAGCAAAATCGGGGCTTGAGGTGGCTGGTGTCACAATGATGCGAGGTCTACCTCCTTCTGTGCGAGTGGGCTGCATGGCCCCCAGTTCAGTGTAAGTTGACCTGGCACTGAGCGGGATCCAACGAGGGGAGAACAGGCCATTCCATGTCACTCTCTTATTGGAGTCGTGGCCACTGGGCCCAAGCTGGGTCTGGAAGCTGAAACTGCGGTCATCCCGCGTGGGGTTATTGATGATCCACGGAGAACCCCAGGAAGAGGACAGGTAATTACGAGGGGTGAAAATGCTGCAGTTGACATCAAAGTACTTGGCCAATTGAATGGGCGAGGCAGAGTGAAATTGGAACGCTAGATAGAGGAGATCACGGACTGACTCGTAATACCTCAACATGAGGGGGGATTGCTTCTGAAGGCGGAAAAGATGCTGAGGGGGGATCATACCATATCGAATAGCCCTCAGGGCACCTTCAACTGTCTTGCTGTCAGGCTGGTTCTGGCTAATCCATTCCTCCAGGGCTTCAAAGAGCTCCATTTCACTTTGTAGAATGAGGTCAGAGCGCTGGAGCAGGGACAGGAGCAGGTCTTCACCGATGGAGACCCATTCTCCACTCTGCAGCACAGAAGACAGGTTCCAGGAGAGGTACTGCAGACAGCAGTCCCGCAGGGCAGTGTCCCCAATTTGCTGTGCATAGTTGTACCAGCTAACCACATGGCCTGTGGGTGAATCACTGGAAACATGTTGAGTCATATATTGGGTCAGACCTTGCTGCAAGCCCAACACATGGTACTTGGTGGCCAGCTTATGCAGAGATATAGCCTGATCTAGCCGTACTGAGATATCACCACAGTACAGATATCTGCAAAAGAAATTTTTGAAAGAAATGTTAGATGGTAAAGGGGGAATATTATGTTTTGAGATTTAATCTTTTGAGATATTCGAAATATTCAAACTCATTAGAATATTGTCGAAATAGAGCATTCCTTTATTACTATGTAGTGAGAAAAGCAGTCAAATTGTGTGAGTGCAGTGCTACAGATTTAAACACAACTGAATCTGCAAACAATTTTTGTTTTGTTTTAATTAACAAATAAACTCACCTGACAAATTTATCAAAGACTGCTGCACACTGAGGGGTTTCTGTTATAACCAGCACCGTGTTGTTGCGGTTTAGCAGCAGTTCCTCAAACACATCACTTTGCAGGGTGAGAACCAGGCAGTGGGCTTGAATCACCTTCACCTCATCTGTGTTCATGGTCTGCACCCGTAAAGTCACATCACTACCATTACCCATGGTGAGCAGGGTCTCCATACGATTCACAAAACTCATAGAGTGATTTAGCACTGTGGCAGCATTGTCCAGTGCTGCGTCCTGCTTCAGGGGAGCTGTCGATTAAAAAAGTTAAAAACAGGTCAGATACATAAATGCCATCATTCATACGCAAAATACATTGAGCATGAACATTGACTGAATTGATTCTGCTATTTCAACTTCAGATTCAGTGAGATCTTATGGCAGGATTCATTGGCATGTTCTTTTGATTCATTTTTTGAAATCCTATCTGACAGAGTGACGACTGCAAAAGCACATCAGATAGCATGTGCCAAGGGATGAGCAGACTTGCATTTTCTTCTTCTGCTCTCAGCTGATAGCCTAAGTGAGCAGAAAGCCAGGTGGCTGAGTCAGAAAACCTCAGATTGCCAGGTGCACAGAAAGGAATCTTGAGTTTGCAGCACCCTTGTAGATGGTGCTTCTATATGTCCCCTTCAGCATAAGTGGCACATAGTGGAGAATCCCACATGAAAGACTCAGCACGGAAAGTCTCTGTTTCCATTCTGCTCCTCCACAGCTATCAGCAGCCTTGTCGGTCTTCTTTTGGGGGTTTAATGAGACACACGGGGAGCACACTTGGCTCCCTGGGATGTCTAACAGTCTTCATTTCTCCACCACAATCAAGCACCCCCACTTCAAAGTAATGTTTCTTAAATTAGCTAGCCAGCATCCTGAGCCAGCTGAGAACAGCAGAGTGAAAGGATGTGCATTGGCAAAGTGTGCCCAGTTGAAAAATCACAGAACCTAATAAATAGGGGGGTACAGTATAGTCTGTGTTTTGCTCAATCATACAGTTTATTACAGACCCATTTACACTTTGTTACAAACAACAAAGCAGAATGCTCCATGGCATATCTTACTCCAGCAGAAAATAACTGAAGCTGAATAAAACATTCATACACATTCTTAAATATGTTAGATTTAGTTAGCCTGTAATCATATAAATTAATCAGAGCACAGTGTAATAAGGCTATGAAGCTTTAGTGAGGTCTTTCTTTCACATCAAGCTTTCCATCAGCACGTGTACAACACTGTATTAGTGAGATGGTACAAAGCCAATGACAAATGGATTGCTTGTTTTTCAGTGGCCCTGACCAAATAGATTGCATGATGAGTAGATAAATAAATATCCGTCATTTGCCCTCAAGCACGGCACACATTCCTGCTGTGCCCTACTACCACAAACCGTACGTGGGAAGCCGGACTGGAATAGAACAATACCTTATTCCTTGCAAGATGCAATAAGAGACTAAATGATTAAAATTAGTTGACTTTTTAGAAGCAAAAAAAAAAAGTAACTGACAGCCATTGTTATCTTACCTCCGCTAACTGTGACAGAATGGAAGTGGATAAAGAGGAGCGGGATGCCCACATAGAGCCAGGCAGGAATCTTCTGTTGACATGAGCGCACCATATTCTTTTCTCCTCAGTTTTTCCACTGCCTCTCGTTCTTTGTCCTCTCCCTCTCTGCTCCTCTCGCGGTGCCACTCTTCTTGTGATCGTTTGCAGACAGAAAGGTGTGCTGCCCTGTGTGCTGCCCAGCTCACTGTCCTGGACTCTTTATGTAGGACGCTGGCCTTTCCCTGGCGCATCTCACAGCCCGGACTCCATTGATTGGTGGAATCTGGCAGGGGCGTTGCTATAGCGACAGCTTTGATTTTGATTTTCTCCCTTTTGGATGTTACAAGGCATTGATCAGTGGCATTGTGCCAGCCAAGGACTCAGCTTAATGTTTGGGTTCTTTTTTTAGTATAAAATCAACGGGTGTTGGAAGCTATCAAAAATCAATAGTAACATATTTACCTTTTTAATGGCGCTTAAAATGCAGCAGTTCTATGTGCCAGAGAACTTTATATATGACACACTAGTTAAGTACAATCCGTGCCCTAATTAGTCAACTAATTACAACTGTTACCATTGAAACTATCAGTCAAAAGCAATTAAGGCACCAGAGTGCGTGACCAATAGCAGTCAGTCAAATTTCCTAATCCATCTACACTTCAGTTCTCTGGCATGTTAATCTTACTAATGTGAGGATAATTTAATTGGTGCTGGGTTCTCTCATCAATTTGAGGGAAGCCATGTCCATCAAACTTTAGTATTTTAGAATCTGATAACATTAAAACACGTTTGTTTGTTAAAAATTCATACGCACAATGGTGAATCATTGGATTATCAGTGGACACTTAAATCTATTTTCAGGTGCACTTTTACATCACATGTGGAGTGTGGACGGGTAAAACAAATGTGCAATACAAACTGCGGAGGCATATGGAGTTGATGGTTTGCCGCTTGCATGGAGCACACTAACCTCAAAGCTAAAACAATCAATACAATCCTATGATGATTCGAAGTGAGCTCTATACTAAACTAGCCGTATTGTAAAAGGATTACACATCCTGGCTTAACTTGGAAAAACTGGGTTGCATAAAAAGTGGGGTTGAACATGAGACTTGAAAACAGTATGTACCTCTGGTTGTGGCAAGAGGGTGGTTCAAAAAGCTACTGGCCTCTAATCATCACACGTGCCTCATCTCTGAACCCATCAAATAGATATATATATATATACAAACAGGATTCCATATTAAAAATCAATGCATCTAAGTGTACCAGCAGTTTGCTGACTGTACTGCTCTTATACTAACAAACAGAAAGCTGATACTGTAATGAAAATGCAGGAGAAAGTGGCTGCATCAAAATTGGACCAGACCCTATTAGGAACCTAACAAGACCTTAATGCAAACAAAGGGATTGACACGCTGCTGGATTTTTGAGACTGCCCCTCAGGATAAGATCCATAGATGGATCAATGCACCACAGGGGGCCCCATCATGCAATTTAAACAGCATGTTAAGTACAGGCTGGGTGCCAGAGCAATAGTTACAGTGAGAGAGACTGGGTGACCTTAGTGCTGACGCCTGGGGGAATACAGTTGTCCTAGTCTCCAAAACATACATGGCTTATACTAAATACTTGTGTCTAATTCTTCTATGTAGCCTGTAGACCAATTAAGAGTGTATGAACTGTGCAGAAATGCACAATGTTGTTATATGTGACAGAACAAACACAAAGGCTAATTTTCCACAAAAATGGATTTCAATTGTATTTTAAACTGTACTCTTTCATATTTTAGGGTTACACAGATTAATTGTGCATGTATGTAAGAAAAAGAGGTGACTTTATTGAGACAAAAAAGGACTTATAGAACTTTTATTTTTGTTTTATTCATTTGATTTTTTATCCACTGAATATTTAGCTCAATGATTTTGCTGGGGTTTCCAAATTTGGAAATATCTATTGATAAATGGCATGCTACAAAACAAATCAATATGAATAACTATTTTTGTTGTGTAATCTCATTTGAGAATTTTCCACTAAGATAAAAAAAATAAAAATGTATACTTGAATAAATAAATGACCAAATAATATTTCCACCAGGTGGCTCTGTCATGCCAGGAGTTTGCAGCTCACAGAAGCTCTTAAAAACAAATTCCCCAGCTTCCAGTAAGCCTGTGTTGGCATTGCAGCTTCAAAGAATGAATTTAGCTTGTTTTGTTTTACAATATATAGTATATTATAGTAATATTATACATAGTTCGACATTTCACGTTGTTTTAAAGATTTCTAGTAAATGAATCAGTTATTTAACCAGCCACAGATGGCATTTCCTCTTTTTATATTACACGGCACCATCAGCTCGTTTGACCTCATTCATTCTTTAGTTCATTCCCAATTAATACAGTAAATTGGAGGCGGTTATTAGTTGCATAGGAGATGTAGTTTCTGGCATCTCACAGCCTCCCTGAATTTGTGTCCCCTCACCTTACAGCTTGTATTCCATCCTACATTACATCTTTGGCAAGACAGCTCGGCCTAAACACACATCCCTGTCTGGTGATTGCTCATGTACAAAATCTATGTTAAAGAGAAGGAAACAATTATTCATTTACACACTTGATAGCCTTAACAACACCTAATGCTATTAAAAACCTAACTATTCCTATTTCACCCCCTTTGCAAAGTAAGAAATAAGCAATATTATCTTAAAACACCAAACACATACTTAATTAAATCAGATAATTTTGGATATCATTAATCTCAAAGTCTCATTCATGAGAAAAACGTCACCACTCGTCTGCATGCAAGTGCAAATGTGAGAGGTGAGTGCTTCCATTGTTCGCTCTAAGCTCTGAAACAAAAACAAAAAAAAAGTAGATCGGGTGCTAATCTCACCGAATATGTAAAGCTGTGGAGAGCTGTGAGTTTGGAGAGGAGGGCAGAGTCGTTGAAACACAGTCCGCAGACATATTGTTTGAGGTTTTTACGGAATATAAAACTAACCATCTTTTACTTTGCACGGACACTGGCTTTATTATCAGATGGCTGGACATTTGAGGAGGAGTGGTGGATGAATGGAGAGCGGTTCATCACGCCCAGGAAATCAAGTAAAAGGAAGCGTGAAGTCGCTGGAACAGGTCGAACTATTTGATTAAGTGGATGATGAACTCAAATGAAAAACTAGTTTAAGTTTCGGTACAACAAAGTTTCTTTCCAAACTATTTTTTTAACCGGAAGGAATTGACCTGTTGGAGAGTCGAGCGACTGCGCACTGACAATCCTGGTGAGAAAGAGAAAGATTGAACTTGATCCAACGTTGAATTCTAATGTCATTGTTTGTTTTGTAACATTTCCATCAGCAAAAAGGACTTTTCTCGTCGAATTTGCAAAGCTCGTAAAAAGTGCTAATGAGATATCAATAATCTATTATTCATTATATTTAATTAATCATCTATTCTGACATCATTCAAAGATCTAGCCAGAAAGTGTTTTCAATCAAATAATGTTTGACTCTTTCCACCTCAGAATTCATGCAGAGTAAATTATTAATATGCTGAAAAATATTCTAATTAAATGGTAGCTGTGAGTAAAAGACTTTGTATTATGCCTCCAGCTCGTGCCCTAATTAAAACCTTTGGGAAACATTGAGCAATTCCTGGATTCCTCAGAGACTTAATTGGATTTTTGTTAAAAGACATTAACTACTAACAAGAAACTGGTATTTTGTCGAGATTTTACTGGGCTGGTACAATATATAATATTTGTGTTTACTTGCTGTGTTGGAGACCTGCAGGTGAATGTTTTGCTTTGGGATGCTTGTAAAGGGGGTAGTTTTGATTTAGTTTCTTCAAGTGTTTTGATAATCAAGAGTGCAAATTAGGTGTGCAACTTGCATGTGTCCATGCATGCTTAAGTGATCAAGATATTTGTGTTTCAGCATACGGGCAAAACAAATCTGCAGTGAATGGATGCAATGGATCCAACTCTTGCCCCAAAAGGATGTAGTTCCTCCATGAGTTCCATATACCACAACCTGTGTAACCTGACCACGCTGTGGGGAGTCGTGGTGGAGGGCATCGCAGCTGCTGGTGTGTTGACCTCCTTCGTCCTGCTTATGATTCTCATTGCTTCGTTACCGTTTGTGACGGACCAAAAAAGAAAAGGCATGGTGGGTCTGCAGGCCAGCATTTTGATATTCACCTTGGGACTCTTTGGACTCACTTTTGCCTTCATTGTGGGACGGTTCTCCACGAGCTGCGTTGCCCGGAGGTTCCTGTTTGGAGTGCTGTTCTCTGGCTGCCTGGCCTGCCTGGTGATGCATGGGCTATGGCTGGTCCTGCTGCAACGGAGAGGCCGTGGACCAAGGAGCTGGACGTTATGGCTGGGGGCTCTCGCTCTGTGGTTAGTCGAGGTGATCATCAACACTGAATGGCTGGTCATCACTATGAAGAGCCCTCCTGGAGTCATTGTAGCGGACCTGTCTTGTTTCATTGCCAACCAGGACTTTGTAATGGCCCTCATCTATGTGATGGTTCTGGTGCTGGCTGTGGTCCTCATGCCTTTTCCCTCGCTCACACACAAGCACAAGCAGTGGCGCCGGGACGGAGCTTTCATCTTGACCACGGGGCTCTTTACCTTGGCTATCTGGATAGCTTGGATTGTCATGTACATCCACGGAAACCGCGTGGCGGGGAATGCAAGCTGGGACGACCCCACTCTGGCTGTGGCTGTCGTGTCAAATGCCTGGGTGTTCCTTTTCTTCTACACAATTCCAGAAATTTGCCTATTGACACAAGAGGACCCAGACCAGGAACAGCCCGATGATGGGGAAAATATTTATCCTGCAAGGAGCCTAGTTTATGACAACGTCCTGAAGGAAACAGAGGCAACACAACAAAGCGTGTACATGGATAATAGAGCATTCTCAACCGATGAGCGGCCAGCAGGTATGATATTTAACATCATGAACCACTGTTGATCATTGATTTTTAAAAAAAATTATATTTCTGGTTGTTGTCAAGAGATTTGACCAAGCATGGCTTGATAAATAAAAAAATAAAAAATTATCTCATTGTAAAACTCTCTCAAGTGTCAGGAATGCAGCTTGTCTGTTGGGATTTATTTACATCAACAAGGGAACATATGGATTAACTGACAGTGTTCCAAGTATCCAAATATAAACACAAAAAAGTAATATATTTTTTAGAAGTGTTAGCTGTCTTCATTTATGCCAAGACTGATCATTTTGCCTTTAACTTTTGTTAACCAGAACCTACACAGCCGGAGTCTCCATATGGGGCTTATAATGGTCAGGTACGGAGTTGTGTGTACCAGCCAACCGAATTAGCCTTAATTGCCAAAGGTCTGACAATGGTGAGTGTATTAACTGTATTTTCTCTCACAAAACATCTTTACATTTTCATCGCGTCTACTTTTATTACTTCTGTGTGTCTTTCCACAGATGGACCATGGTGTGATGATACCCAGAGCCAGAGCCCCATCTCTGAACCCAGGAAGTGTCAGAAGCTCCCTGTCCCGTTCACTTGAGTCATTGGCAACTTAACGACAGTCACAGGCTGGCAAATCCACACAGCTGTGTGAGACAGCGATGAATATAATTCTCTTCCAGGGCTTCTCATCAGATTCTCTGATTAAAATATAATCCTTTTTCTTTCTTAAATGAAGCTGTAACTCTCCTGCAGTCTGACATACAATTTCTGTTACAGAGCAATTCTTTTACTTAATTTGCTCTCATTTTTGCAGTGTTCTGAAATAACAGTAGTCAAACATAGCAAGTAAAGCTGTCATACTGGGGTAAGAACCAAAATGGCAAAGACCTTCATGAAACAAAAGTTGTGCCTTAAATTTTCTATTTATTTTTGTTGTTCTTTTTTAAAACTGAAACTAGCTCTTTATACCTTCTACTGTCAAACATGAAAATCACGCAATCACTTAGTCTGTGATCGCTTAACCTACTTTGCTCCGACCTCTTTCAAAATATGAAATCTGAAGATGAGAAATTAGGGAAATGGAAAGAATATGAATAAGATTTCTCTACAATTAACACGACCACGTAGGCTGAAAAACTCTTAGGTAATTTACTTCCATATGAATTGACACCATTTCTTTCTTTTGTCATAAATCTACTGCCTGCAATTTGTTAGTCTGTTTACAACTACCTATATTTGTTGACTAGTGTTTTCTAATCTGTGAAGTAAATGATATGTAACCGTTCGGTTTCCTAAAAATATGTTTAAAATTAAAATGTAAATTCTAAGTTATAAAACTAATAAAAGTTAGTAAAAAGCAGAAAGCAGATTTTCCAATTCATTAAACGTTGAGATGTTACCAATGGGAATACAGAAAGAGAAAGCGTCCCAAGGATTTAAGAAAACAAATTTTAAACTACTGCCACACTCATAAGGTAAAATCAGTCAATAACTTCATCTAATGTGCTGTCTCTGGTAGTGATACGTTAAATCATTACTATGTTTGAAAAATGCATTACTGCAATGAGCATTTTCAACTGCTTTGACAAGGACGCCTCACATTTTCTGTAGACGCAAGTTCAATTATTTACATGCAATTAGTCTCTTCCACTCACACAGACACAGATATGCACACTTCAGAGAAAGCTGTGGCTGCCTAGCAGCATAATGAATCTGCCTCTCCCTCCCAATTACAACCACCAGCTTGGACAGTGAACAGCTTTGAGTACTCAGGTGGAAAAGATATGCCTGGCAAACCAGAAATCAAACCATGCAGATCTGTAACAGAGGACATGTGGAAATGTTGAGGTTTTATGTTTAAATATACCCTTTGGTGCTCTTTATTCAAATAGTTAGCATGTGAATAACATATACAATGAAAGAATGGGAGGGAAAAAGCAGCAAACTGTTGTCTAAAATTAGCTGAAATCCAAATCAGCACAGGCAGCTTCTGCTGATAGCAGAAGTGGCTGTCTTGCACACATGACCAATGCTCAGCTCAAGGGAGTTAATCCTTCCAACCAGAAACAGCTGTCCCCACTTGGTTCATTTATTTATCGCTGTGACAACACTCAGAGGACAAATGGATTTTTTTAAAAAGACAGCCAAGTGATTTAACAAGACTCAACCCACAGGCCAGACAAAATACAATCTGAATGACTTGGTAAAACAGCATAAAAATGAGCTGATAACTTTTCTTAAAATGATGAAGAAAGCATTTGCTTTCGCATCAAGAGTGATATAGTCAATAAGTCACATTTCTGAACTTGAACACAAGCCAGTGTTTGAACAAAGGCCTTGTTCATGAGCGTAAACCTTGTGAAGATTATAAATGTAAATACCTGTACCAGGCCCTCATTAAAGGTCCGCATTTGGAAAGGCATTTATTGCTAAACTAAGGGTCATAGAGAGAAACAATATTTGACCACTTTGTTTGCCAGATATATTCATGAATATTCTCATTGAGATTCAACCAACTGCTTTGAGAGCCAGTCATGTGGCTACAAACTAAAGAAATCAACCTAATGAACCTCAGCATGTAAGGATAAACTGTCCATTAAAACAAATATTTATTATATAATTCCTTCTCACTGAAATACAGAATTAGGCAACAAAACAGCAGGCTTTAATTTAAAAACAGATTTATTAATACAACCCTGTTTGATGCCCAAGCAGCGGTACACTTTTATTTGTTTGTTTCTGCTCACAACAGGGTCACATCCAACCACTGCGTGCCCAGAACCAAAAACACACATTTTTGGACACGTCCCGTTTTTAAAATAAGTATTACAACTTTATGACCCCATGGTTACTGATTATTTTTCTGTGCAGACCTGCACATGCAAAACACAGTGGAAAATTTAAATGTACGCATTACCCTCAGCACAGAGACAACAGTGAGCCACCGACAGCGCCTCCCTGCCAGCATGTGGTTCCCCGCAGCCACAACAGTGAGTTCCTTTGCTAAACTAAATGTGGCCATTAAGGTGAAAGTTGAATGGTTTTAGTACTTATGACCTGCAGATGTAAATATTTGCATTATCCTTTGAAAGTCACTTTAATTGTGGCTAAGCTTTAAAAATGAGTCTGGAGGTTATGTTCACCACTGTGTATTCACACCAATACCATCACTGACGATGATGGTATCCGAGCAATCCTTTATTTTTAGTGATATCAGTCAAAATCCATGAGTTTCCTCACTCGTGTTTCTCCGGCTTCTTGTTTCTGCTGTTTCTGTTTCTTCAGCTGGCGATAGGCCTCCACAGCTCGCAGCCTCTCCTCTTCCATGACTCTCTGTCTGGCCATGGAGGGCTTGGCTGTGGAGGCTGCAGTTTGACCAAGCAGAGAGCTGAGAAGCAGCTTTTTCGAAGTGTTCTGTAAAGAGGGGTCAGACGCAAAATAAGCATCAGAAAATATTTACTCAAGCATCAAGGTGACAGGCAGTCACTGCATAAGGGTTACCGGAGATTTGAGCTGAGCTTTCCTAGGTTTGATACTCAGTGATGGTGGGGCCAGCGTGACTTCACCAAAGGGAATATTATCTACAAATAAAGAAAACATCATAAATATACAAACACAAACTATTACTGAACTTTAGCATGTTAGCCTGTCTCTTTCAAACACACAGTTCAGCAAGACAGAAAGAGCTTTACACTCACTAACAGCTTCTAGGAGAGTTAAGGGGAATTATCAGATAGTAAATAGACAGTTATACCATGAATAAAGTCATGTGACAGAGCATGTGTCATCCTTACAGCAAATGAAACTTTTTTTATAGATATTTTACTAATATTGATATTGATATTTGGGAGACAGAGATGTGATTCTTTTCCTCTAAACTGTAGCAACAGCCATTTGGTGGTGCTAACAAATTGGAGCATGCAGCAATTTAAATCAAAATCATTCCACCACAAGACCTGTAATTGCTTCCTTCCACTGAACTCAAGCCTGGCTAAGATTCTGAAACAAAACCCATTCGATTCTCACCTACAAACATCTCTTTCTCTAATTTGTCTTCTTGTCTGTCAAGCTTTTTCAGCTGTAGCTTGTTCAGTCTCATTTTGGCATACCTGTAATTAAAAAAAACAAAATTAACAGGTGTGAAAGGATGTGGAAAGCATCTTAATAAAATCTGTAATCAATAAACTCAACACATATGTTAGCCTTTTGAACAGCAGTAACACAAAGAGTCCACGCCTCTTTACTCCTGATCATGAACATGATCTGTGTAATGTAAAACTGGAAGTGACCGCCACGTGAGTACATTTTAACATGAGAGCAGTGTGGAATGACATGGATATACTTACTCCTTTTTCTTGTCAGATTTGCCCTTATCAGAGGGTTGCTCTTGCTGGTCAGGATCCAGCTCAGGCCTTCTTTCCACTTGGTTCTTGGTGAGGAAGAGGACGTGTTTTGTCTCGTTTTCCATGCGCCTGAGATAAGATTTCACACTCTCCCTTTTGCCCCTCTTGAAATGTGGGACCCGTATGTCTCCGATCACTGGATCCTCTTGTTTAATGTGAGGGAAGATGGCAATAAAGACAGAAATGCAGCAGATTTGACACAATAAACTAAGTCCAAAATAGCTGTAAAATTAGGGGTATTTCGCCCTTGACAAAATGACAGATAAACGGCTTCTCTACTCACCCTTTTTTAACTTTTTGACAGCGACAGATCCTGTTTTCATTCTGTTCTTGCTCTTCATGATCTCTCTAAGCCGGAATGGGATGTGTTGAAGGTGGTCCTCTGGTTTGGCTTTCTTGAGTTTGGCATCTTCTTTATATTTGTTTTTGCTGAAATATTGAAATACGTGAGGATGAAGAACAATAAACGAATGCACCCGTGTGCAGTTCCATATCCTCGCTTTAAAGCAATGACTGTACCAAAAGCTAACTTCAAAAGCTAACAGCAGCTAGCCACATTTGCTAGCCAGCTAGTTAGCTAACATGACAGTTTTTCGTACCGCATCGTAGCTTCTGATTCTTACCTGCGGTGCTGTCCAGCTTTATCCACTTGTTGCTTTAATTCGTTAACTTTTTTCCTTTTACTCTTTGCCATACTGCCGTGTTTAAAATAAATTAATAACAAATTCACACGTGGGACATCACAGGGCCACCAAGCTGTGAACGTAAATCAGAGATTTATTAACTACATCAAGACGTCTTACTCTCACAGTCTTTTCCGAGTACTAAACAGTGTGCTAAACAGTGTACTGATTTGCTATACTATTTTTCATTGAATAGGAATAGGTTCAGAACAAAATGTGGTTTGAATCTTTTATGTAGTAGTAAGCTTTCAGTTACGCATTAAATTAATCCATGTATACAGAAAGGCTAAATATGTTTCCTAACATGACACATGTTAGGAACAAGTCCATACAGACGATCTTTTCAGTACTAATAACTCCATTTGCTGGAAGAGCCGCCAGAGGGCGACAACTCCCATTTTTAGCTTTCCTCTTTTCTATCTTGGAGTATTTTAACCTCCTGAGACCCTGCGTCCTCATAAGAGGACGTTGCATTTTGGCCTCTCTTTACCATCTTTACCACTCTTTCGACTTTGACCGCTGAGGCTCAGAGTAAACGCTATCAGGCACTACTGTTGGAATTCTTTTGTAAAATGTTTTATACATTCTCAACCAATCATGTTCTTAGTGTGTAATTAAACATTAGGTCAAAAAGTGATTTGGGCTGTCAGAACCAAATTGCAAAAACATATAACTAGATATTAAAAAATATTTTAAATATAAAAATAAATCCACTGTGCCTATAGAAAAAAAACCCTGTACCACGACAAAGTCTAGTTATTAGACTTATTAGATCCTCTTAGGTCCTAAAATTCCCATATATTTTGATAAAAACAAAAATCACACCAAATAAAAGCTCAGATCTGACGAGGTTAATGAAATGCAATTGCCAAATAATTTGACCCACAGTCATTTTAGTTAGATTTTGAGAAAATTAGCTATTTAGATAACTGAAAGGTCAACATTTATCTGTTTTTCTTATTTGGTGAACAATTAATTTCAGTTATGATTCTGAACATTCTATACTGGGCTTTTTTTATTTTGAATAAGACCATGATAAAAAAAAAACCCACAACTAATACTTTATACGCTTAATGATGGATGTAGAATATTTGGCCAAATTAGACACTTTACATCATGTAGAGAGGATCCTCTTTGAAATATTGTCTGGCACAGTCTTACAGAAGAGGAAAAAATCTTGCATTTAAAAAATTAAACAGAAAAATAGTAAAGCCATAAACCTGGCCAAGAATGTGGCTTGATTTAACTCAGTTCAACACCGCAAAGAAAAAAAAAAAAAGAAAAAAAAAAGACAGAAACGATCTATCATGAAGAAACCTAAACTCTCTCAGGAGCAACATAAATTCTCCTCATAAATTTGTGCAGCAATGGTGATTTCCGTTATGAAGACAACAGAGTCTGGAAATGCAAATAAAATGTTTGGTTGAGTTTCAATTGTGTATTCTGCAATAAATTTAAACTTCATGGCCCCACTTTTAGTTTTTAGTTGCAGACTTGAATTATCTGAAATTTAAGTGATACCTAGCAGTAAGTTTCTTCTGATTTGAAAGTTCTTTAATTAAGTATTTTCCCATGTCCCATTTACTTACCAGCACATACTTCCTGCTAGTTTTCAGATGTTTAAAAAAAACTTTGTAAGGGGGAAGATGCATCAAAAGCCTCCAACAACCTGACATAAGCTCTTTCAGTCACAAAATATTTGCTGAATGTGTCTTTGAGGGAGAGAATCTCTCACGTGTATGAGAGGCCGCTTGAGCCAAAATTTGCATGTAGTCTCACGTATGATATGGCAAACAATTATTTCCAGCTCAGTGGGGTCCCACTCTCACTAAACAAGCCCCTTGCAGCATCTAGTGGCTGCAGGTTGTCATATCCCATGGCTTATCTAATTAGTTGTACTGTTTGCTTGGTGGGCCACTGTTAATAAATATGTTGATTAGATTAATTAAATTTCGCAGGGCAACTAGGAAAAAAAACTGACCGCCCAGACTGAACACACTCCTAGCCAAACAAGGGGGTGCTTGAAGACATGTGCTGTATCCCAAATAACACAGCTGATGTCAGCATCTCTGCTTAAACGATAACCCTATGATGATGATTGAATGTATTATGCAGTAATATGATACGATTTTTGTGCAAATGCTATATTTGTTCTTTATCAACAATGTTTAGGCACTCTGTACACCACTAAATAACAGTTCCTGTGCACTGGAAAATTTTCACAACTAAGCCTTTTTTGTGCCTGCAGATAGAAGTAGGAAAATATTTTTTAAAACTTGTTTAACAGGCTCCTTTCTACAGTTGTTTACTTAAGGTTAAATTTCACTGTTATAGCATAAGAATGATAACTTGGGTTTGACAACTACATGACGGTATACTGTGAAACTATGACGACTGTGTGAGACCATGTTCAAATCATGCCTCAAGGCCTCTCATACATGTGCTCCGCACATGTGCATGACAATGAGCAGCACAGATTACAACGAGTAGCTGATGTCTACATCACATGAATGGAGCAGGCATGCCCGTCTGTGTGTCCCTGAGGATGGAATGGATTATGAGCTGTAATGCAACTCAAGCTGAGAGAGTGCTGATGAAAGGAGAATGGCCACAGATCACACCTGACGTTATGCAACGTTTGTGGCTGGTGTGAGGATACTGAGGATCGTGGCTATTTTATGGGGCGAAATCCCCAGCAGTACCTAAACTGAGCAGACCTGTGATGTTGCAGAGATGTGCAGCTGACTGCCCGTTTTCCTCTGAAAAACATTCTCTCGTCTGCTGTTGTCTCTGTTATGAATTTGTCTTCACACTGTAAGGATCTGACATCCTTGAAAATGCCAGTCAGCCACTCCCACAGGTACGTACTGATCCATGTGTGACGTGAATGATGTATGCGTAAAAGTGATGACGGCAGTTTCTTGGTTGGCTGCATTATAATCTTCTCAGAGCCAGACCTGTATAAAGGGCTTCTTGTGGTACAACAGCTCACCAGACACAGAGCAAGAACTCAGCAACACATCATCGAAGGTACAAGACAGCCCACTCGGTGAGTACCAGCCACATCTTCTAGACAAGATAGTTTTTTTTCCTCTTTTTTAAATATATCTTTATTGATATGAATCTCAAATTTTTGTTTAGCTATGACAGGATTTGTAAATAAACTAAATCAACTTCATATGAAGCGACTTCATCAAATTAAATCAAATTGAGCAGAATCAACATATCAGGAATTGATCAACTTTTTAAACGTAGCATTTTTGGGTTATATTTGCTGATAATTTATTTTTCTTAAAGGGGAAAATTTTGTCAAACGTACTCTTATTATTCTCTCCATCTTCAGGAATTTGAATAGGAAAGAAGGTAAATGTCAGACTTAAACAATCAGCCATTGAATAATAAACATAGTTTAATATTCATATTTCAGTTATAAAACACAAAAACAAACTTGATGCAGCAAAACTTGCTTCTTCAGTCACACTGAAATAAAATGCTTGAAAGGTATTGTTAGGTTAGATCGTTGAGCAAATTCAGCATGTCCAGTGAGTAATCAGATTATGATAGAGTTTTGAAGATTAAAGGTATTGTGGGGGATTGATTAGCAGTCTGAGCCCTACAGGAGCCCTACAGCTTGCATAAGCAAGTCTTTTTTTATTCATCAAATGATTGAGAAGTTTTTTGTTAAAGGGATTTCAGAAGGAGACATAACTTTAATTTAAATTCACCTAAAAGTGTGTAAAATGTAAAAAATACATTATAGAGATATTGTTATTTATGTATTCATTTATTCAATTATGTAATATATATTATTAATTATGACATTGTGATTGTCCCACAAATAGTTCAAGCATCCAAAGCATGAATCTGGAGGTTGCCAAACCTGAAAAAAAGACTGGTGGAAAAGCTCCCCTCAGAGCGACTGCCCCTGGATCCCCAAACAAGGGCCCCCCCAAGTTCAAACAGAGGAACACCCGTCAGTTCAAGAGCAAGCCTCCCAAGAGGGGAGTTATCGGGTATGCCTCTCTTACATCGATTTTCGTATCATCGTCAGATTCTTTTGTCTGTTTTTGAAAAGAAAACTTTTTAAGGTTTCTACTTTTCCTTCTTCACCAGATTTGGAGAGGATATCCCTGGAATGGAGGGACTTGGCACTGGTAAGCAGAACTGCAACAGGTCATCCCTGAGATTGACACGCATATCCCTCATTTTAATCACTATTTTATTTGTCTTTTCTTTCAGATTTTAACGTGATCTGCCCATGGGAGGCCTACAGCCATCTAGAGCTTCATGAGCTTGCTCAGTACGGCATCATCTGATTCTGCACTGTGAAATAACTTTTTTGTAAACAAAGGGAACTAATGTGGCAAGTCATTTTATAATCAGTCTAACAGTCCTCGCTTGCTCCTTTTGAATGGCAAACCCCACACTTAAAGTGTAACCAATCGTTGTGAGATATATGTCTGCATATTTTGAATGCTACTGTTTGTCTACGATATTTTGTACGGTGTATCTATTTTCATAACTGTCAAGCTGCCATTTCCATGCCCATATACACTGATGCTGAACGTGCTTTTGTGTTATTGCCTGAGGCTGCATGGGAGCTGGAACTGACAGCTTGCCCATTGGCCAGCAGGAGATTCTGCACAACTGTCAGCACTGTGTGATTTTATATTCGATCAAAGGTAGAATAAAGCTTCGAACTTTAAAGATGACTTAAAACTCTCTGTTTCTTTAATTTTTGATTGAAGAACAAAGTCCTACTACCCAATTCAATTTTTTCCAATAGTTTTAACACTGCATATGTGTTTAAGGGTAAATAATAACATTGATAAACAAAATATTCAATTTTATAGAATTTTGGCTTTGCTTTTTGTTAAATGTAAAAATCTTTTTTAAAGGTAAACATCTGACAAAAAACTGTCTCTACCACATTTCAATGGAACCATTGTCAGTGTTTACTTCAATTTGCAAAACAAATTCAAGCATGCTTTTAATACTTCTGCCACTCAAAATGTATGTCAGACTCGTCTCTTTGTCCGATATTTCTGACACCTGACTGTCAGATACAGCACTGTAGCTGCAAAATAGTGGTTAGTTTTATTCATGTAAGTGAAAATGGTTTAGATATATTTTTTTCTCTAGATGGGGAAACAGCTGATCTTTCATGTGATCAGTCATGAGACTGTTTCTTGTTGTACTTTCCATTCACCTTTCAATTTGTTTACCCTTTTTTAAAAAGGAAGATTTGAATGACACCACAGCCAAGAGCAATGAAGTGAAAATTCACAGTTAGACAAAGTATGTCATTTAAATTTATTTAAAATATTTTTGTTTTGCTTTCGTTCCTCTGAAAACCAAGGATTAAAAAAAGAAAAGGAAGCAACAACAACAGCCCACTCAATTGCATATTACTGTGTTGAGGACGTTATGTTATGCATGGACTTTGTGCCATTTGATACTTTCCAGCACTCGTGTTGTGATGAACACAGCCAAAATTTGGACGCCAACTATGATAATTCCAACGGTACCAATCAGACCCTCGTGTTGCTCAATCCAGCGTGAGATTCCCCCCAGACAACCGCCCAAAAAGATCACACTTTGAGCGGTGAACTCATCTAGCAGTTGGGCACCCACACCGCACTGAGAGTTCCATACAGTGCCGTTTTCCAAAGGATCCACGCAACATGTTGCAGGGACACCGCAAGCCAGCACTCCTGGAGCTGAGCAGTTGTAGTACCTGAAGAAAAATGGGAAAGAAATTAAGAGTTTTGAAATGATTCTTACATCAAGACCGCACACACATTCCACTCACATATTGATCTCCCAGTCTCGGTAGGTGTCTGCCCCACAGCACTGCAGATTTATCTGAATCTCATCTGTGATGAACCTCAGGTCCAGATCATCTTGGTAACGCGCCATGGCAGCTAGCATTCCTGATCGCAGGTAATCGCCAATCTGATCTTGAAGGCTGTAGGCCACAATGGCGAACAGCACCTGAGCTGATATAAGCACCAGAACCGTTGCTGAGAACACCTTCAGTAAGCAGCAGTTCTCTCTCAAGGCGCCCACACATCCTGTCAGGCAAAGCAAAGTCAGCAAAACCCCCACCGTCATGACTGTTAGCATGGGGTCAGTGCCAATGCTGCCAATCCTCTCCTGGGCAAAGGATTCTTTGCTGATAAGGCCCCACATCCCCAGACCAAGAACCACCAGGCCCAGAACAGTGAATGTGAGGTTGCACAGGAACAGGGAGTATTTTAGGAAATAGTCCATTAAAGAATAATTCATCCAGGCTTGAAACCTGGCAAATGTAGAGCCGTTGCCGTCCCGTCCATTGTTTGTCCCTGTTTGACATTCGCTGGTGACGTGATCAAGCTCTTCCTCGTCTTCTTCTGTATTTTCAGGCTTTTAGACAAAAAGACAAAGTCTGATTTTAAGAGCTGACGCAAATACATAACTGCCATTCATCCAACACAGACACGCGACATTCTGAATCAAACTGAATGTACTCACTTTGGGTATGAGAGGGCTGGATTCAGTCGGTGTCCTGTCCCGCTTCTTTGACATCCAAGGTACCCCCTTGACGACCAAGTGCTTCCACATCTTGTCAGGTTGGGGGAAATTGTCTTCCCCCTGCTTTTAGCTGGTCAGAGAAGCACAGGCTGAAGTGAAACATGAAGGGGGTATGCGCTGTGGCTCAGTGGAGTGTGTGAGCCGATGTGGAATAGCCATGCTCTGTTGAGCCCCACAGGGCTGTGGGGCCTAAGAATTTTTCATCATGTGATAGTCACAGTGAGGGGATTACACATTTATCACAACCCAGAACAAGAAACTTTTGATGTAAGTGTGCTCACATAATGAGCAGAGAGGATATGGGTTCTTTCTCATGACCTGCAGTCCACCAAATAACAAAAAAGAAAAACAAATATTGGTGCAAGAAATTACTGGTTAACATGACAGAGTTTAATCCGATTTTAACAAAAAGTTGTATGAAACAGTGGGGTCTCTTTTGCTCCTATAATTAGTCTTTAAACTATTTAAGCTTGGCACCTTCAGTCCATGTAAAAAAAAACTGCCAATTTACCAAACCCTTGCTGTTAGACTATCAGGGAGACTTTACAATAACAAAAACTAATTGTTTTCATTTTTCTGATAGGTAATGTTATGATTCTCTTTTCATAGAGCTTCAAGAATACAAAATCAGATTTAACATCATAAAAAAAATCTTACTGGTGACAGTTGTTTGGAAGATTAAGACAGTCTGGTCTTCTGGCCTTGACTCTGTGGAAAAGGATGTGATTTGCCAGATCATAAGACAGTCATTCAAAGTGTAGAAAATATACCAAACAACTGACATATTTTGGTGTGAATAAAAAGAGAACAATCACAAATAAGCAGAAAAAATTGTGCTTGAATTTGTATTTGTGATAACTCTCATACAACTGAAACTCGCTCTATTTTTTTGTAGGTTATTGTTTTCAGCTATTCTGATTGCTTATAATCTTGTTTACTAAGCCGTAGTTTCTGCCTTGATGCTGCTATATACATTTCTAATTATCATCACAACTATGCTATTCTGCACAAATGGAAGACATGCTATATTGCAGTGCCTCATGGTGGCCACAGGTAGTTAGTAAAGAGTCACAGTTTTTATACCTAACATGTTTGGTCATTATCAAATGAAATACACCCTATCATACTTTTTATTTTGTATCCTTTAACAAGAAAATATGAGAAAATATGGATTCCTCAATGTCTCATGTGTTTGATTTCAGTGTTTGGACTTGAAATCTGATACATTTCTATTTGATGTTGCTCTGATAGAGTTATTAAAAGGTGATGTGCCACTTCGAGTCAATAACCGTTTAAAAATGAGGGAGTGGATACGAAACTGAGCTAGGAAACAGAAAGAGGGAGGCCTGGATATCTCACTCGCTGGCTCTGCAGGATCACTGGAGTCATTCTTTCCTCCAGCTGTCCTGGACAGAGCTGCAAGGTGCTGGAAGCTAGTTAGTCTGGTCCTGCAGGAGATCCACAGACCAACAGGCAGATATGCATCAGTTCATTTATGCTTCTGTTTCCATACTGAACTCTTTCAGTGGAAAAAGCTGTTTTTTGTTGTGCTCACTGAAACTCACTTCCCAGGTAACTTAGTGTACACAAGATGAGAATAGTTTATACACTTGTTAGGTTTTTGCCATTTTGACAGGAGAATTTTTTAGATATATTACCAGTTCATGATTCGTATTTGTTTATTCCTTATTTTTCAAAGGCAGTATTTCTTTTTTATTCCAGTCAGAGTTACAGTGTTTTGATATTTGTTAAACATTTGCTGATCAATATTGCTTGACATTAAAGCTAATATTGAATTTTGTATGATAAAAGGTCAGCACCAACAGTCCAATAATATGCAAAAAGAAAAAGAGCAAATACCATAAATGAAAGAGGCCTTCAACTCCAGATGAGACATCTTGCCTCTGTTTTCTGCTCCCTGTTTCCATTGAGGTCATGGAAACTAACAGCAGGGGAACTGTGAAATCCAGTTCGCAAAGTTCAAAAGACAAATTAACACAAGTGAATATAGTTTTTCAAGAAAGATCCAGACTTTAAGGAGACTTTATTTTGACTAAATCCGAACTTGGATGTTTATTACTTTTTTTGTTGTTGACAAACCTCACAGTTTCTTGATATAAATATATATTTTGGGAAAAATGGGATTTTAAATGCTTCCAGCTTCAGAAATACATCTGTTTCCTCTGTGATTTTGACAGCACTGTAGATGGAAAAACGTGTGAAATAGTGAGTATATCTCATGGAGATCCTTGCTTGTTTCGATAGATTCACCTGTGGGTTTGAGTCTGCCAAAGACTTCAGGTTATCCGAATTATGAGATATAAATGATTCCCCAGAGAAGAAAACTATTTACAAGCAGTATAGATATCAAACATATGCCAGTTTGTTCATACAGTGGATTTCAGAGCCAATTCAAGAGATGAGCAGACATTTTGATGCAAAAACAGGTGATTTATTCTCTCTTCTTGGGCCAATGTTTTCAAAGAGAATCAAAGGTTTTGCTTGTTTATAATTGCCAAAAGCTTTTTCCATTGGATGTAAAGGTCCCTTCCTGAGACAAACGCCAGGCAGATAACTGTTCATCCCACTTACAGCATGCTTGTTGTGTCTATGAGTTTAAAGGTGGTACAGATGGTTGGGACTGTTGTCAAGTCAAATTCCTTTTCAGAGGAGATTGTCTCCACTGAGCTCATATATCACTACAACTATCTGCAGAGATCAGCACAGTTTTTCTGAGGTAATGGACTGCGGTAATTTGATGTAGAATACCTCTGAAAATTGCAACGAAAGGCATTTTATTTCAGAGCCGTAGAAATATGTTTCCTTTGCCTGCAAATGAAGGAAAAAGTGCAGTGATTTATATTTTCGCTCCTCTCAAAAAATGACTTTTCTAAAATAATGCAAATCATGAACTCTGTCCTTATAAGGACACTATACAGTGTCAACAACATTATAGTAGTAATTAACAAGTAGTAAATAACAAACCAGCTTACTTAAAAAAGCAGCTGAGGGCAGTTTAGTGCTGAAAGAATCCTTTGGGAGTTGTATATTTCTGTCTTTACTGACTGTTTTAGAGTTGGATATAAAGTCTAAATTCTTCTTCTTAGTCGACATGACAATGCTAATCTTTTAAGTTTTAGCTTTGATCATTTAGTGAGTATTGACTGTAGGTTTCGATCACCTCTGACAGCAACAGCGGCCATGCTGGCTGGCTACGTCTGTCAAGCCCAGATGTTTAGCAGATTTTATTACAGTAGGCAGTAAGAATGTTTTTCTGGAGCCATATTGCCACATCAAACACACCTCCTCTGGAGCAGAGCCTTCTTGGAGTGCTGTTGCCCTACAACAGTCGCAGCGTCTAAAAGACATGTGGAGGAGAGACAGAGGATTATCAAGACCTCCCAAAGAGACTGTGAGTTACTTATCATTGTAGCAGGCCCACGCTGCTAGAAACATTAGAGCAGAGGCTTTAACGGGATGCATGTGTTTGAATTTGCTCGCTGCCATGCAGTGAGCACATAAACCCAGCCGTGCACTTACTAAAGGGTCGGACCGTGTTACCGCCCCATCTTCTCTGACGTAGATGGGAGCAGGTGGAGGAATGGCTGCGTGAGTTATAAGAGATTGCTACCCAGGTCATGTTTTATTCTGTCTGTCATACTTGAAGGATTGTATCACACATTCTGCTGCTCCAACCTGGAAAGACCTCAATCACTTCGTCACAAAAAGGTACAACTTTTTCATTTGATCTTACCTAGTGCAATACATTTACATTTATTTCAAACAAACTCAATCTTTTGTCTTGAAATATATGCATGTATTAATGAGATGGGCTGAGGACAAATCTTCTAGCTCAATTTCAGCAAAATAAGAAATACCCAGGCTACTATGAATGTGTACTTTTTTTTGTTAGTTTTTTTTGTCACCACTCTTAACTGTGCTCTTTTTCTCAGTTACACACACATACACATTTCTGCTTTTACGAGGAAGCACCATGACGATCAAGCTTTTCTTCCTCCTGCTCTGCACAATCTCGCTATGCAGAGCTCAGAAATGGAAACAGGACACCTCCCCTTGGAGTCCAAAAGGTCTGGAACGATGTGTGATTGCATTGATCAACATCAAAATTAACACATTAAATGGCAACAAAAGAAATGTAGTGCTTACTGTGAATGTCTGTGTTCAGCAGAGAATGAGAAGACCTGCTCCAACCTGACTCAGGTGCTGGACAACTGGAAATTTGCTATTTTAACCCAAGTGAAAGACCTGCTGATAAATGACCATGCTTCTGTCCTCCCTGAATATAACAGGTGAGTAATGCTGACATTTGGACTGTACACAGTAGCACTGATACACAAACAAGCTCTAAAAGACAAGAGCGGCTCCTACAACTGAGGTAAAACTGAGGCAAACATTCTCTTGGTCTTCATTCAAATTATTATTAAAATTAGAAATTACATAACCTGTTTCTGCTGTGGAGGTGAGCTCACTGTAGACACCGTTCCAAAAGTAAACGGGAAATGATTCAGCCTCATGTTTTGCCGGAGTCAGTGATCCTGGGGCATGACGCCAACAGCTAGGAGCAATTTTAATGCTAAAAGGAACCATTTACTTTTACTTCATTTTCGGCCAAAGTTATGTAACCTTTATACTACTATCTATAAAAAAACAACAACTCTGTTGTCTATTATTGTTATGTTTTGTGCCGACTGGGAGTCTGTTTCTGCTTAACAGCATGTTATGACATTCATGTTTGCGTTTCTAATTGTTTTGATTGTGCTCCAGATTATATTTTTGCGTCTCAGCGATGTTCGAATTTCCAGGAAGCTTGTGCGAAACCATACTAAAGTTAATGGAATTTCTATTCAGTTGATGAGACCATTTGCTCATGTGAACTCTCCCACATGTCTCTGCATGTGTCTCTGCATGTGACCAGGATCCAGCCTCTCTCAGATGCTCTGGGAGACCTCTACAAGCAGTTTAACTCACTAAAAGAAGAGCTGGGCGCACTGTCGGCAAAGTTTGACAGAGTTGAAGGTTTTGTGGACGAGCTTAAGGATGGCAGAACCCCTGTGCCACAGCGGCCCATACAAAGGATCCACCCCAGCTTTGGTCTGAGATCTCCACTGGGAGCTCAGAAGAGAGCTCCCGACAGCAGAATTATTCCTCAGCCCAAACTGCTCAGAGCGAGGAGGAGAGGGCCACAGAGACAATAGATCTGTGCCTCGGAAGTTTTTGTTTGGTCATGTATGAAGCTTAAATATGTATATTTTTCAGGAGAATGGTTATATTTTGTATTTTTACATATAAGTGTAAGGTGAAAGATGACTCTCCCGGCCCACAAATAATTACTGAAATAAAGGTGTATGGGATAGAAATGCATGATATTTAGTATAAAATCTATTCATCTTCACACCACTTATTGTTTTTACATTCTACCACAAGGCAGCAACATTCAAACATTCATTAAATCATCTGCTACCTGCTCTTTTCTGTTTCAAAAGGTGGACATGATTCACCACAACAACTGAAACAATGTTCTTTATAATCATAAATGAAAGGGTAAACCCTAACCCAAACGAGGGCAAACAGAATGTTCAAAGGACAAGAAGATAGAATGTTATTGATGTCAAATTAATACACATGGTAGGAGTTTGAAATAGAAATACTGGAAGACATAAGGAATATGAAAACCTTTAGATAATTAAGTTTATCAAGAAAACAGATTATTTTACCTGTATGTAAGATGTTATGTGCTATAGACTAAGAACTTGTTTTTCACTATTGTGGATGTAAGCAGGCTGTGTGCTCTCAAGCAATTAATAAAAGTATATAAATCTACCTTATGTGCAACTTTACATTTTAATTTTCTCTTTAATTTGTCTAAACATACTGCATGCGTGCAGCTGTTACCAACACTTGCACAATTACCAGCCTTGATCTTAAAGTTATGTGTGATCCAAGGCTGCCCTTTGTAAAGATTGTATACAATCAATAGCAACTTGAAAAGCTTGAAACCTCTGAGACAACAATTTATGTTAAATCATTCCAGCATACTAAATTAAGTAGTCTGCAAACCTCCTCTTTGGATGTTGGCTGTATTTTGTTTGTTCCACTCTGTGACAACATAGTACTGTTGAAATCTGGACCTGCAACCGGACCCGTTATCGTCCAGAGTATTGTCATCTATCATGTCTAATCCTGTGCAGAGTGTTTTCCTTCCTGATAAATGACCTCCTGACAGCTGCCCTTCCACTGAGACAAATTTTGATGTGTCCAGGAGATGCATTTTCAAGCCTGCCATTCTTTTTATCCTCCAGTTGTTCAGGTTCCTCGCGTTTTTAGAGACACACCTGACAGTTATGAGATTATCACGTTGTGGGTGGCAAATTTTCATTGTATGCCTGCCAAATGTTGCTATCCTTTATTTTTTCATGAATTAAAATAAAATTACGTTCTGGAATAATTTGTTCTTGCAAAAGGTCAAAAACATCAAGGTAAAACTTCAAAAGATCTTTGGAAGGTCTGGGAAACTATTGCTCAAGACCATTTTAAATGATTACAAAAACATTTGGATATCTGGAAGTAAAATATGAAGAAACTGGGGCTTTTTGCACAGAACTATGTGCACTGAACAAAAACAATTACAGCAAAAATGTTTCAACTAGTCAGGGGGGGGGGGCTGGAAATGTGCACATTTCATTAGAAAAACCAACACTATTCTGGTGCTCATACAAAGATGGGGGTTATGTAACTTCTTCTGCACATGACCAGAACCTGTCTGAGTCAGTAATGTGATCTGCATTTGCTGTAATTCACACAAGACCCAAACGGCTGTGAGATCACCGTACAGCACGCGCCAAAGGAAAATGGGAAATGTGTCAGCCTCATGTTTTGGTCAAAACAGGGTTGCAGTTAGACTTAACTTCAAGTCAGTGACCATTTCCTTTGAGGAAAAGGCTTTGAACACGATACCAACGTATAAGAGAATCTTTGACAAGAATGTGTGTCACATTGTTAAGCAGCCAATATGCCTTCTTAATTACCAAACACTTTCTTATGAGGAATCAATTAAGTAAAGGAGACCATTTATCTTTGATAAATATACAGTATGAATACATAAAACTTTTCCAAACAATTCCAAATGTGACCAGGATCCCAGCCTTTTAGGTACTCTAGGTCTGCAGTGACATTCTAAAAGACTAATGTGACTAAATGCTCGAGGAGTGTATTTATCTTTTTTAATTTATGTGAGAGACATAATTAGGAATGATTACAAAATTAGCACTAGTCCAACTGTGATTGATTTGAGGAAAGAGACACAAAGACCATAAGGTTGTTGTTGCAGCAGTGCACAAAATGAATTCATCTTGTGTTTTGTGTGTAATAACAAACTCAAACAAAGGGTGGCAGCATTTCACTGATCATCTTAACTTTGTTTGTGTTTTTGTGTGGTGTTGTGGTCAAAAAATGACTGGACATACAGTACCACTTAATTGTGAAGTTTAAAAATATATATATATTAATTTAACCTCTACTTTGGACCTCCCTAAAACAAGGCACAGGCTGTGGTAAAAATAAAAATATTTTTCACACATTTTCTTTCCTAAATTGAATGGTTTTAATTCAACAGATATTGACCAAAAATAGTCAAAATTTTTAGTCGCAGGGTAAAAATACACATGTTTGAATGTTAAAAATGTCAAATGAATGCATATAGATTTACCTTAAAAGTATGATATTGTAAAATTTCCCAAGAAAGTTCACAAAATGTGAAATTATGTTGTGACAGAGGTGATTCAGACACCTGCTGTTACAGCTGGGAAAGGAGAGACTGTGATCTGGAAAGTGTTACTGCCAGTGGTGCTCACTGGCATAAACAAACTCCAGGAGTAGTTCTTCAATATGTGCTCTAGTTTTTCCTTTACTTAGTTAGGTTCAGATTATCAGTTAAGAAATCTCTGCAGTTTGTAACTGCAGCATGTGGAATGGTGTTGATAATGAGTGGGTATCGCACAAGACAACTATCCTCAGGCATACGTCACCCAGTGAATGGACAATTTAACTGCGTGACATTAGACTTGACAGTGGTTACATACTGTACACCAGATTATTTGACACTGCCAAAAGGTCCATGGTTGAAATCCCCTTCGTGGTTCAGCATGTGTGGTTTCTCTCTGGGAAGTTCAACTTCCTCATATTGGGTTCATTTGAATGCAATGAGCGTGAGTGGACTCGGGGATTTTTCTCTCTCTGGCCCTGTGATGGACCAATGACCTTCCAGAGTCAGGAAGACTCAGGCTGGTATCTCACCCAATGGCTTATGATAGCTTTGCAAGGTCCCGGGGCAAAGCTTTGGAAAGTTAATTAAGAAATAAAGTCTGCATACACCTTGAAACACCTTCAGCATGTACAATGGTGTCATATAAAAAAACACTTAAAAGAGGTTATGTATTTCATAGTTTACTAAAGTAAATCCAAGTGTTAATATCAGGAAAACTTGGTTGACTACACATCAGCCGCAACTCAATTTTAAAGATGTAGCCAATTCATGTGAGAAGTCTTCTTATCACTGATTTACTATGTGCACAATATCTGATAATAAATTATTAAGTTTAGTCCAAGTTAAGTGTTTTAATCTCTTGCGATTTTGCGGATGTGACATTTATAGAGGGAAATGTTTAATAAAACTGCTCAGAAAGTTGTCATTCTGAAAATAAATCAATAAGGTCTTACAAAGCAGATGCAATGAGACTGAAATTAAACAGAATTGTTCTCCTCTGTCAGTGAAGCATTGCTTTCAAACCTCGCCGTCTGTTCTCAGAGGATGCACCTGTTATCCCCCGGTACGTAAATTTGGCTTTATGCAAATACAGTGGTGTCGGGTAGTTCTTGGTAAAAGAAGAACAATGTATCTGATGGCAAATAGTCTTAAATTCCATTACTGTCAGTGAGTATAACACTCACATCTTTATGTCTGATAACTAATTTATATAGAGTTTACAAATGAGAACGCCCCCCCTTAAAGTACAAAAAACTTAAGTAACAACAGAAACTATGACTTTTGACCGATGAATTTACATTTATTATTACTTTGGTATATTCAATAAGCCATTTGATCAGTGTCCTTTTTGTTTGTTTTGTTGAGTAACTCGTGAATATCTTTGATGGACATGTGCATGGACTGTGCCAAATGAAAATGAGAAAATATCCTGTATCTTAGTTTGGGACAATGACACAAACAGAAAGGAACTTATAGTATTAAGTTCGGTCATGGGGCTGGCTGTGTGACCTTTATGGGTGGCCTACAGTTGAAAAATTCAACATAATCTGTTGGTACTCTCAGAGCTCATCCTCCTTTCAGTCCCTTTGGATTTCAGTGTTGTATTTAATAGCCCCCCCTGCTCCTCCTCTCCTCATCCTCTAAACTCTCTCATCTGTCAGCAGTAAGGTCACTTCCCAACTTCCAGACCATTGTCAGCACACTCTGAAAACATGCTGGGGACCCTCTGCTCTCTCCTCGCTGCTCTGACATGTGAGGAGGCTGACTGGCTGCACATCTGGCCTCATGTTGGATTCACCTGTGTGTGT